GAAGATTACTTCTTTGCAATTCTCTCTTAGCAGCCACCAACCGTTTCTTATTTCTTTTGCTACTGTATTTTTTGGTCTAGTATTTCCAATCCCTAGAAGTGCCCTCATTGAGTCAGACAATATGGCCCAGTTCGCAGTTTCAGTCGTCGCTATGTACTTTAGTGCTTCCCTTATCGCAATCATTTCACCTATAAAAACTGAGCAGACCTCCGGGAGTTTAAATAGGTTGCAAATGTCTGAATTTAAAACTGTGCCTCCTACATTCTCGTCTGCTTTTGAAGCATCCGTATAAAAGATTTTATACTCCTTGTATTTTTCTAGATTTTCTAAAAATAATTTAGCTTCAATTGGAAGTACTATATCTTTTTTACCTCTGGCAATTGAAATGTCTACAATTGGTGAGACATAGGTCCATCCTGGGATTAATATATCCAGCACATTCTGATCATTTTCTACTTTTAGATCCGAAAATTTATCGAGAAGTGTTTCTGCGAAATTTTTCTCCCTCCTACTATCTGCTTCCTCGTTACAAAAAAGTATTTTACTTAGTATATGTCTTGGATTGGTCTTGATTTTTAGGCCATACTACATTGTCAGAAATAACCTTCTAAAATATAGGGGAGGTTCATCCGCTTTTGCACATACATTATTCGTAAATTAGTATTCAAAGCTGTGGGTACAATACAAAATTAATTCCAATCCCAACTTTCTTTTAAGGTTTTTTTGTTTTTAACTGTTGATTGGAAGAATAGACTAGATGTTAAGAAATATAATTTGGTTAATTAATAAAATTACAGCATTATGAAATAATAAGTAGATTTTATTGTCTTATGGACAAAATCCACAGAATATGCAGAACTGCAGTTGGTATATGAAATATGAGTTCAAGTGTAGGCCTCCTATATGCAGACAATATCGTGCTGGTTACTGATTCTCAAAAAAATTATTTAACAGCCCATTATAGAACGGCAGAAAGAACTCTTGTAAAGGAATGTGTATCAACTACTGCAAGAGTAAAGTTGATTGTAGCAAGAAAAAATGGGATGTGTGATGTAAGAATGACATGCAATAGAGAATGTAGACTACTACACCTACCTTGGAACAATTTTTAACAAATCTTTGAAAATAGACCAAAAAGTGTCCTACAGAATAAAGAAAGCAAACAATATATACCACCAGATTTGCACCACGATTGTGGAAAAGACAGAGGTAGGAAGGAATGTCAAACTCCACAACTCCATGTATCTCCTTACATTGTTACACGGCAGCAAAAGCTGGGTCACCCAAGACAAGCATTTAAGCAAGATCACGGCTGCAGAAATGAAATTTTTACCAAGAAAGGGTGGGGTAAAACCAAGAGAAGATAAGAGTTAGAAATAAGATAACTCTTGATACCATTGCTTAAGTCAAATATAGAATGTTGACAACTTCGATGGTATAGAAGTGTGTAGAATGGGGGTACATATCAAAACAATGTCTATGCCAAAGAATGTTATCATGTAAGCATTTTTTTAAGTTACTTGTACCTAGAACATATCCAACGACTAGGTCATGAAAGAGGGAAACTCTAATTCAGTTAAAGGAATTGGCGAGAGATCGAGATGTGTCATCAAGTGGCAGGAGGCTCCTCCATGCTGAAAGACAGGAGGCAGAAAAAGAATAATAAATGAAAACCTGAATTCCACTTTCATTATGGACAATACTTAAGTTATTCAAGTAAGGAAAAGAAAAATCCAACTTATACTGGGCAGCAAGATATCAGATGGTCGAATAACCAACGACTTTGACATAAGGAAAAACAAATAAATCAAAAATAACTGTTTTTAAAATTCAGTTACGCTAAACAACTCCTAATAGGTTAATAACAGATATAGTCCTTGGTACAGACCCCTTCCCTTTTTATCAAATTATTAACATCCACCTGAAACTTTGTTAATAGCTTCATATCATCGTAACTTACCACTATTTTATTTATGAAAATTGTTCGAAATGGGGCATTTTCAATCTGGAAATTTGCAAACTCTGTCTATTTAATTAGGTGCTAAAAACTCTATGAATAGCCATTTGTTTTCCACTTGAGTTGTAAGATGATATATCACAAAATGGAAAAGAAAAAAAAGTGGTCAACAAAAATATTGGGTCATTTGATGTGACCTCCACCCCCAAAATGTCCAAATAAGGATGTTATAAAGGCCAAACCATCTAATATTTTTGTAGGCCATCTTTTTTTTTTTTTTTTTTTCATTTTGTGATTATATTATGTTACAATTCAAGTGAAAAGCAAATGGGTGTTCATGAGATTTTAGTTTCTAATTAAATAGATAAAGTTTGTCGATCTCCAGATTGAAAACATACCTATTCCGAGAATTTTTGTAAATAAAATATTTGTAGGTTACGAAGTGATGAAGCTATTTATAAAGTTTCAGGCAGACATTAATAATTGATAAAACGGAATCTGTACGATGGACTAATAGCGAATTCCATGAACCACTAGCGAGTTACTTCTGAAAAATTAGGTCATGAACATGATGTAACAACAAAGTGCTAAGAAAATAACACAATTATTAACTAACTAAAATAACACTTCTCCAGTTCAAATCCTCAGTCCATTCCCTGTCCACAAGATCTCGACCTTCTAACCTTTACATGCCTTCTCACAGATCTGCCTCATTCCAAAATTCCTTTATTGTTCGCTCTGTCAATTTCTGGAATTCCCTCTCTACCAAAATTCGGCATTCCCCATCCATATCCACATTCAAAATCCTCCTATTCCAATTCCTATCCCAAAAACAGTCAGATAGTGCTAACCATTCGACCTGATTTTAATAGAGAATTTGATACATTTTTATTTTTTAATTCTTTATTATTTTCTTAAAAGTGTATACTGGTCTATCACTGCAAATACCTTTAAGTGTCTTGTCATAGTATTAATTGTTTTGTATATAGAATGTTTACCTTATTTTTTTTTTTTTACATTATTTCTTTTTTTCGATTGATTTTATTTTGGCCGGATGTAATCTTTTAATTTTGTTCTATTTTGTTATTCTCAAGGGACTGTGTCCCAGAATAAAGTTATTTCTCTATCTATCTATGTATCTATTATTGGTTCCCTTAGCAGTCAAAATTAAGGGGAAACAAAGAAGCGAATAATTTTTAAGATCGAATTTTTTAAATAAATAGGCTCAATCAAATATCTCTGTCTGATCATAGTCTTTGAATCATGTCTAAGCGACTCCAAAAATAATAACATTTTGATCATTTATCTTTGGGTTTGCACCTGAATAAGCAGGTTAAAAATCGGACAGAAACTGACCCAACTTCACCTGCTTTTCATTTGACATATAACAAGTGCCAAACCAGCAGATGATCAATTCTGATCTTCAAAACACCAGCATTCAAGCAAAACTTACCACCTCAAAAATTGTAAAAAATTTACACTTCATACATATACTTAAGAAAGCATTTATTTTCTCTTGTAAAAAATCAATGAATGCCTTATTTGGCAGTTGGAAATTAATTCACTTATTCAATGTATATTGAAGTTGTGAATATATCAATATTAAAGTCAAATAAATAGCCTTTTTTAAGAACAGTCATTGTAAATGGCAATAGCAGTCAACGACATCAAAGAAAAACAAATAAAAAAAAATTAATTATATTAATTCATTTATTTCGTTGTTATCTTACCCACAAAAAAATGACATTTCATGTGATACAACCAGATAAATTAAAAAAAAATTAATTATTTATCAGTAGATATAGCATTACTGATTCAATAGTGCAACTCCAAATAACAAATTAGCGCTCTGTAATGAGGATAAGTTGATAATGAGTAAAAAAATTTAAAAATACATATATTTCCCAATAACATAGTCGCAGATGCAAAATATTAATGTGAATTCTTTCATGAAAAAATAATCTACTTGTTCATAAATTCCAAATATTTCCAGCAAAAGATTTATCTTATCAACATTCAGTATAATTCCTATAAAAAAATTAACTACAACATTAACAGCAATATTACATATTATATATTTATATTTATATAGTAACAACGATAAGCTACTTCTACAAAAATCTACAATAATTTACAAGAAGAAAAAAAAAATCGATCCTTTTTCCATTAAACAGAATAATTAATACTTTAATGAAAAAATAAATAATATAAACTTAAATGAAGCTGGTTTTAAAAACTTTAACATTGAGGAAAAAATGTTTATTCTTCACTGTACAATACTTACAATGGCAACGCCAGAAGTAAATCACGAGGCAAAGGAACTCATAGCAGAACTTCAATGTACCAAACAAAGAAATACTACAAATAGATTTTGACCTCTCGATTCAAAAAAAAAAAAAAAAAATCATTAAAAATAATTTAATAATAAAATAAAAACATATACATATACGATTGAACAAACCACTTGTTATAATCCATAATGAAACAAAACACTTCAGAGAAATTAAATATTAGATTGTATTAAAAAATATATATATATTTTTAACATGATTCATATAAATCTAAAATTATGAAAAAGAAAAATACAACAGAGAAAATATAAATATAAAATAAACACAACATTTCTACAATGAAACTAATTACAATGGGGAATGAATTTAACTTAAATTAAATAAAAAATAATTATACTTTCAGTATATATATATATATATATATATATATATATGTATACATATATATTTAAAAACAATGGGCTTACGTAAAAATACAATCATTACATTCCAATATTTGGTTTGGTTGCGTCAAAAACAAAAGCAGTCAAACTCAACCCATTAAAGTCAAGATAAATTTAAAATTTCATAGAAACTTTATTTAATATAACTAGCTATTTACATCACAAGGTATCACCCTTGGTTCATTATTCAGTTTGCTTAATATTGCAATTTACTATAATGTCAGAAATTCATCTAATGAAAAAAAGAACTAATAATTACAGTATAAATTAAATATTACCCTTTTAATTTGAGTTAAAAAAAAAGAAATGTTAATTACTGGGTGGAGGAGGCGGTGGCGGTTCTTGTAGAGGTGTTGGTTGCGAAGGTGGTTCTGTTTGGTCGCTAATGTATTCTAAATAGTTTTCAGAAACCTCATGGAACACACTTTGTGTAACAATCCCATGAACCTTCTTATGCCTTAAAAATTTATTACGATTCGTAAACTTTCTGCTGCACTTCTCACATTCCAATAGCTTTTTTCTTATTATTTTTCGAGGTTCTAGACTGTGCATCCCAGGGACTTTGAAACGTAACACATTATTCTTTCTCACTGGTTGAGAAGATAATGTTTCAGTACTTTCTGGCTGTATCTCAATGTTGTAACAAACAGTATCAGAATTTATTCTCTTTTCAGACAATAGCTCGGCTTCTAGAAGGAGAACAATGTTGTTTACTTCATCTTTTCTACTCCTATGCTCCAAAATGTGTCGCCTAAGATTTTCATTACTCGAAAAGCCAAATGAACAAACGTAACACAATAGTGGAGGAGGGATGTTCGAAGGCCTTCCATCTTCTAGGAGACCTTCTCCTTCATAGTAAGGGATAAAATGACAGTCGAGTATATGTTGCCTGATTGAAGCAGTATTTTCCTTCATAGATAGATGTTTACTGAATGTTCTGCTACATTTTTTACAAGACACACTTTCTTGTGAAAGCATGTTAATTTTAAAACAACTGTAAACATGGCGGTAGAGACCTCTTTGCATAGTTATAACTTTGTTACAAATGGTGCAAACCCTACCAATCTTTATAGAATTTTCTTCAGCCATTTTATTAGAAGGCTCATTTAACATTCCCGAATCCAATCCCATCAAACTACTTTCATCAGAAATGCTACTGTCTATCGTGCTCACTTCAGCCGATACTTCTGCATCCTCTTTCTTGGCAACAAACGGCTCAAGTTCAGAAAAGTTTGGTAAAGAGAATCTGCTGACCTGCTTCGTGGGTAACTTGGTACCTTTGGGTTTAGCTCTGCTGTGACCATAACAGTTACTGTTTAATAAATGAACTCTGTACTCTTTGGCAGAATTTAAGAGTTTTCTGCAATGACTGCAACGATTCTCACAGCTGCCGTCACATTGAGAATAGTGCTTGATCATTAATAATTCACTCCGAAAATACTTGTTACCGACAGGGCACTTCATAAGCCTTATCCCCCTTGGGGCAAGTGGGGTTTTTGATTTAGGTAATGGACCTGGCAAACCAGGATTCAGTATTCTGGGAGGGGCTGAATTTACTTCTTGCTTCGGATTCATCATGAATTCCAACTTAGGTGTCATCAAAAAGTTCGATTCTAGTGAACTTTTTTTAGTCTTTGGAATTTTATTTAAATCTGGGAGACAAAACCTGCAGATTCTAGATTTTCCTGATTCACACCATTTTCCACATTGTAAACACATTCCATCTTCTAACTCAAAAGCATTATATTTGCATTTTTTCAGATGGACAACGAGCATTCTCCTGTTACTAAACACCCTTCTACAATGTTTACATTTCCAGCATTTAGGAACACTAGCTTTAATAACTTTATTTTTCTTAGCAATCTCTATTTGCCGAGTTAACGTTGGTTTTGTTTGATGATACTTCCACATATGTTTTTTCAATGAAGCTAAAGTGGCATAATCCCTGTCACAAACATCACAATGCAGGAATGGATCACTCTTTGCCGAACTAGATGACTGATTTGTGTTAGAAGAGTGCAATTTTGCTGATGTCCCGGGGCGGGGATTTTCATTACCAGTCTCAAAATTCTGACGGCCAATAGATAAATTTTGTACCATCGGCCTACGATCGACAGGTGAAGTTTGTTCATCATCTGAAACATCAAGTACATCATTATGAAACCTGATTTTATGTTCTTCTAGAGCTGTCGGATCTTTGAACGAATGCTGGCAAATATTACAAGTATAGATTTTCATTTTGATAGAGCACATATCATGCTTTCGGTGGTGGGAAAACTCTGCTCTTGTTTTGAACACCCTAAAGCATTTATGGCATAAAGTCTGTTTTGAGCCAGGCGGTAAGAAGTGCAACCGACAATGATCCATAAAAGCCCTACGAGAGTCATATCCTTTCTTACAAATTTTGCAAATATGTTTGGTACTATGAACTTTTAAATGAAAATTCAATGATGACAAAAGGTTGAATTTTTTACCACAATGGTTGCAGACATAGCCATGGCCTTTTCTGCTCTTGACACGTAATTTATTTGAGGTAATAACAGCCTTCTTTGGCCTGAAAAGCCCACTTTCCAATGCAGATCCCTTGTGATAAATCTGAACATGACTGATAAATACACTTTTAGCAGCAAATGTCAGATTACATATTGGGCAATGCATTTTCTTTATTTGTAAGTTATCTGGGATGTTATCAGTTAATTTAGGCGTTTCTTCTTCCTCGTCCTCTTCTTCTTCTACTTCATCTTCATACTCTTGCTGATTAGCAATTTTCGCTGAACAGTAATAGCTGTGTTTTTTGAGACCACTTTCTCGGAGGAATGTCTTACTACAACCTTCACATCTGTAATCATGAATCAAAGGTTCAACAACGATTTGTTCACTGAAAACATTAGCTTTTCGTTTTTCTAATTCTTTCTTAAGTAATTCCTGCTGCCTCAGGCTCAACTTAGGCTTAGTTCCAATATTATCGGATTCTTTTGAGACAAGTGGTGCAGGAGGTGCAGAAGGCTGCCCAATCCCATGCGTCTTCATGTGAGCTAACAGTCGGACCCCTTTTTGACAAGAATAATGACAATTTTCAATAGGGCATATGAATGTTGATTGATTCTTTTCCAATTGTAAAGGTGGTGTTTCTTCATTTCTAGAATACATCATAGACCTTTCTTTCATGTTACGTTCTTTTTCTCTGATCATTTGCTCACTTACTCTTATCATCCGCTCATTTTCTCTCATCATGAGGGGATTATCTCGCATTAAACGTTCATTACATTTATGTTTTTTTGAAAGTAAATGTCTTCTCATTTCAGATATATATGTGAATTTTGTGTTACATAACCTACATTTCTCTTTTCTTCTAGATAATTTACTAAAAGATGATGGGTAAGGTAATCTTGGTTGCGCTTGCCGAATGATAGATTGCTGATACCTATTTACTGGAGGTTGTATAAAATCTTCAGGACAAAGTCTAGAACGAAGCATAGGAGAATCGTTGGAATAACCACTAAGTCTAGAATCCTCAGAATATGAATCTGAATAACTTATCCTAGGATCAACATAATCTGGTGGAGCGACATTATTAGGTAACGGAATGTTGTCTGGACCTAATGAGGCATTGTACAAATGAACTTTGGTTTGAAGATGTTTCAGATAATTAGACAAGGAAGAATACTTCCGATTACATATATCACATTTATTAGTTTCTTGTCCTGAGACAGAAGGTTGATTTCCAAGATCTCCACTGATATCATCAAAGTCGTAAGAACTGAATTCAGATTTTACCCTTATAGGGAAAATAGGTTCGATATGGCTGGAGGGCACTGTTTCATGAGTATCTATTGGTTCTTGTTTAATGTTTTGGACCTGAAAAGTAACAATAAAATTAATTCATTCATAATTGTTTATTTAATTACTGTAAGTTGAAAAATAAACAAATATAGATTTGTATGCATCATTATAGTTATAATTAAAAATGTGGTAATTTTTAGTATTTATACTACGCTATTCATCAACAAATACAAGTACACGAGAGCTTCCACATTACATACTCTTCATCTCTTACATAATACTTATCAAGTACAAGCAAAATATATGGAAAAAAATGTCTATTTTTGGTTTATGACATTGAAGAGCAGCATTCTTGGTTTACAGTTATCTAACTTATTAGAAGTAGAATAAAGAGGCCATATCTGCTGGATAAAAGCACCATTATAAATAAGGCAACATAAACTTCCAAAGAAAATCAAAATATGTGATCAACTATAATATGTACACAGAGTTGAGGGATATATTTATAGGGATAATAGGTGTCCTCAAGAGCTACAAAAAATTTGATATAAACAATGCCCAGATTTTTGGCAGAAAAGAATGAAATCTAAATATTTTTATTTAAGAGTCACACATTTCTTGTTTAATAGGAAGCGAGAACTAAAGAAATATTTTATTGAGGCAATACATAATTGTTTCAGAGTAAACTAGACGAATTACAATATGGAAATAATTACTATATATTATGGATCATGGATAATGAATATTCATGTGATACACAGTAATTTTAAGATTTTTATTAATTTTTTTATAAAAATCTTAAAATGACTCCGTTCTGACTATTTATTATATGTAGACTAACTTCAATATTACTATATACTAACAGAAAAAAATTAAACCCATCAATTGCTTAAATTATTTTCATGAAAACATAAATATTAGAATTAGAAACATTTATAATAACGGTCAATCCTCTTGATAGAGATATGTGTAAAAACATATGTGGGTTATGAATTAAGATAATAAACTTCTGCAAAAGCATTATTTTCAACATTTTTTTTTTTTTAAATAAAAATTGTATTCTTGCAATGAATTTACTACAATACACCCCAAGTCATAAAATAAAAACTTTATATATTGCTTCGATAGAGAGCTTTTTAGGGAAAAACTGAAAGGGGTTGGGGTTCTTGTAGGTGGGAGGGGGAGACGAGGGAGAAAATGGACTAAGGAGAGGAACAGTCCAGGAGGATGAAAGAGTATTGGAGTAAGAGGAAGGCTGAGGGTGTGAAGAGGAAACGGAAATGATATGTGTCCTTGCTGGCCGGTTCGTGTAAAAAAAAAAGATTTTTAATAAATTACTGTGGTTATTTTTTCTAAAAAAATCAAATACTCCGGAGAGACAGAATATCAAATCATATAATTTGTTTTTACACAAATAGAGGTGTCCTAGGCTTTTTTTTTTTTTTTTTTCTGTAATAAACACCAACTCAATTAATATAGACTTAAATCTTATTAAATAAGAAGTTTTTCCAAATGTGGAGTATTTCTGGTATAGTAGAAGGGCGATTAAAAGAAATTGCTAATAATCCATGATTTTATGAAAACAGCGTAATCTAACTGATTGAAATGGTTTTAAAAAAAAATAAACTCGACTTGTATTTTAAGTAAATTTTGTCTAGTTTACTATGAAGTAATTTTTAATTACCTCAATTAAATATTTTTTTAGTTATCACATCTAATTAACAAAAAAAAACTGACACTTTAAAAAATTTATAACTTAAATTTCCTATTTTTCTGCATAAAAATGAAGAGACCATTGACCTTTTTTGTATTTCTTGAGGTTACCTATCACCACATCTTTAAATGTTTCTCTTTACTTACGGGACACCCTGAATGATCTTTTTTTCTTTTACTTATAATGAAAGGAAGACGAGGTGTAAATTTTAGACTTGTCTTACAATGTTCAAAACCCGAAGCAAAGTAACCCACTTCAATGTTTATAATAAACATAATTATTGTAACCACAACGTTCTGTTTATCTACAGCTATCTCATTAAGTGGATTAAATAAATAAAATAACAACTTAAAATAGAGATATTTAAGAAATCATAAATACACAATTATAGTTCGTACGTTAAAAGAAAGAATTCATTAAAATGAGACTTAACTCAACCACATACCTTCCTATCACATTGTAAACTAGACTTCAATGGCGGTCGAGGAAACTTTTATTTAGAATAGTAATGAGATGTTCAATGAATTAATACCCAACAAACTACCATGGCAAACGAAAAATAACAACCAATCTTAATAAACATTAAACAAAGCACTACTTGTTCATAACAATACCAACCCAATGATGGAAACAATAGTGGTTGTTCTTGTTAATAAGCTGAGTCATCATAAACTATATCTCTTCTATTTCAATATTTTTTATTATTAGGTGATTTTTTATAAATAAAATTTGTATTAATGTTATCGGGATGTTTACAAACTATATTAAATGAAATTTCTGAGATATTTCTATTGTTATTCCAAGGTATCATAACATCCATTACAGAAAATAATGGACCGAATCATAGGCTTGAAGTCCAATAAGGCAAATGTATGAATACTACACTTTAAGCGGAATTATATACATTAATGTGAACTACAGCTTTAGACCTGGCAGTGGGTCTTTGCAAATGGGTTTAACTGAAAGCAAATATAGTCTTTTATCGAATTGGGATTTCTATATTGTCAATTTATTAAATATTCATGAGAAAATCAAGAAATTCAGACAGCTTACCTACAAGGTTTATACATACAGTTATATACAGGTTTTTTATTATTTGTTAAAAAACAAAACAAAAATAAGACCACAATTATAAAAAATCTGGTGCGCGCAACACACAACTTTCACTTCTACAATGAATAGAAATTATTTTCGGGCAATGCTGGGCTATTATAAATTTTTTTGAAGTGCATTTTAAACGGAGCTAAAGCTTAAAGCTTACAGATAACAAGTCATTAAAACCATTATAATTACAAAATGTTTATTTAATATATCAACGACAGGCAATAAAAATCTAGTCGCTCCATCTGCTTTTAAAAACCACAAAACTTTATTTGCTTTTATAAACTTCAGAATGACTAATTCGAGGTGTCGAGAAAATGAGTTTAGCGAAATTTCATTGAAATCAGTACATTCGTTTAGGTGCTACAGTCTATAGCAACACAGGTTTTACTGCATTTTAATTTTTTTTTCTCTTTTATTAACTTATCAAATTCTTTAAAAAGTTATATTTAGCATTTTTTCGTAACTTTGAATAATGTGAAATGATTAACTTTTTAAAATAAACCGTATTAAAGGTACTTTAGAGGAAGAGGTATATGAACATTGGGCATTTAAGCCCTGCAAATTGACATCAATGGAGATAGGTCCTCCTAATTGATATTAAAGACCACTTAATTATACAATGATACATTGAGTTTAATCAAAATCATTAGAGCCGTTTTTGAGAAAATTGTGAAAATGTGTTTCAGCATTGATATAAAGTGGCACTTCCGGTTAACCGATTTTAAGGAAAAAGTTGCTGTCACATCTAAGGCATATACCTATCTTAAATACGTAATATCAGTTTCGTAGTACTTTTCGTTTTTGAGCTATACTGCTAACATACAAACACGCAGACACACAGACCATTTTTCGGGACTTGGTCATTTTGACTAAGGGTACCATAAAACCTCAAAACGTCTATTTCCGTTGAAAACTCAGATTCAAAAATTTTCTGGATCGCAATACTTACCCTTACTATATATTACATATATACGTAAGTGAAAGTAAAAAAAAGTTGTAAGACTTAATATATATGTTGATTGAAGGCAAATACTTGAACAGGATACTACACAAGGTTCATAGTTATTTATTATACAACAAATGCTTGAAAATCCAGCATATTTTACTTTCACTTACCTATTTATGTAATATACAGAAAGGGAAAATATTGTGATCGTGAAAATTTTCTAATCTGTTTTCAACGGAAATACATATTTTGAGGTCCCCTGAGTCCAAATAACCAAGCCCCACAAAATGGTCTGTGTGAACAGTGTAGTGTAGCTCAAAAACGAAAAGTCGTACAAAACTGATATTACGTATTTAAGGTTTTTATATGCCTTGGATGTTACAGCAACTTTTTCGTTAAAATCAGCAAACCAGATGTGGCACTTTATATAATCAATAGAACACATTTTTACTATTTTCTCGAAAAGGGCTCTAACAATTTTAATCAAACTTGGTATATCAGTGTATTATTAAGTTTTTAAATGCTTATATGCCCAATGTTCATATGCATCTTCCTCTAAGTACCTTTAAATTGGTATAGTTAAAAAAGTGAACTCTCTTATTGACAGTAACTATAAGAAATTGCTAAATATAAAGTATGAAAGAACTGGATAATTAGAAACTGGAGAAAAAAATGAAAAATGTTCATTTAGGTCGAAAATGAATTTCGGGAAATACTAGTCAAAAAGTATACGTATAATATATCGTTGGAAAGCAAAGAAGTTTAGAAAAACAATATCTAATATAGAAAGTCGTTGAAGACGATGGAGCGACGAAAAAATTATAAATAATAATCTGTGAAAACTAATACTATTTAATGGAAATCACATGTTTCCATGGAAATTAAATCAAATTTATTTACTAAATGTAAAATTTTATTTTATTTTTTAAATTTGAAAAAAAAAAATTTTAAATCCACTGAATCAAGCCAATGACATTGTTTAAAAAAATATTTCATTGCACTTGTATGAAAGAAGAAGTGAAATATAAAAATATTTCATGGATGTGTAAAAGATACGCTTGTAACCTTAAATACATTTACTGTAGTTCAATAACTCTAGATCCAATATTATAATTAAATAATTACGTATACATCGTAGATTTATTCCAAAAAAATTTCCTTTTGTGAAATCACAACAGCATACATTTACAATTAGTGTGACAATTTGACCTAACGACGCTATATTTTGACATGACAATGATCTTTGTCACCTAGTTTGACTATTATTTTTACTATTTATGTATTATTCTCTTCTCCTCAGGTTGTGCTTTTTCTTTCGGGTATATATGCTTATATTTTATATTTTTGTCTTTATGTGTGACAATATGAGAATGTACGTATAAATAGTTCCTTTTATTTATTTTACTTTTTTTTTTTTCCATTACACCACAAGTATCCTAAGATTTTATTTTATCTTAGTGTCTGCATATTATTATATAAACCACTGTAGATATTATTACATTTTGTATTAAGTTAGTTTTCTATTAGATAGCCTATTGTTTATAAATTGTGTAGTTATGTATATATAAATATGTAATTTCTCTTCTTTTTTTTTTTTTTTTTTCATCACAATTAAGTAATTTTAAGAAGATTTTATGTTCATTTGTATATATATTTTATTTTTTATTTTTCACTGGTTACATACTTTTTAAATAATGTATATAATATTAAAATTTTTATAAGTTAGTTTTTGGCCAGATTTGTACTTTACTTTGTATTAACTCAATATTGTTATTCTAAAGGGACTTAGTCCCAGAATAAAGTTTAATTTTCTATTCTATTCTATTCTATTCTATATTTAAAAGCACGTAACTGTATTTTGGTGTGTTTTCCAAAGTAAAAAATAATGTTGTGAGATGATATCACTTTAGGTTTAGGCATCGCCCTCCTAATTGTTATAGCTTCAAATCTTAACATGTTTACATTCTCTATAGGGTGTAAAAAGCTTAATTTTCATTAATGATTTGAGAACTGTCTATTATTAGTACAGTGTCTATTACTAGTACATTTGCTATAATATCTTTGTTAATAATGGTATGATCTCAATAATTTTTAATTTGTTGTGTAGAAAATTGAATTATCTTTCAAATGATTAATATAATCAATCATAAATGTACACTTTTTGAGTCATGCACAAATAGTGTTTTCTCTTCTTTACAAGTGTTATCCTGATTTTGTTTGAGGATGTATTAATTTTTTAGCATTAGTACAGAAAACAATCTTTAATGAAGACTCAATGTTGGATTGATACAGTTTTAAGGAAGATACGGCATACTGACAAAAAACACATTTAAGAATCAATATATCAACAGCCACACTGAAAAAGCTTGTAAAGACAATTTCTAATGGAAATGAGGTTTTGAGCTTTTCGGTTCAATCTTGTCCTGGCGCATATTCTGATCTCACAAAATGAAATCTACGATGTTTCATTTATTCTCCTTAAGGCCTTATTAAGGTCTTTTATAAAAAACTGTAATTTAAAAACCAGCAAATTGTGATGCAAAAAAAGTTACAGTCAAGGTTATAGAGATTGTGTCATTAGCGAAAAAAATGAAATGAAAGATGGTCATGTAAATACAGAATGTATAAAGTTTTTTGCGCTTAGACTACAGTATCAATTAGCTTAGACTAAAATTAATTTTTCTCATGCACTTTGTATTCCTTTTTTTTTTATTTCTAATAAGTGGCGGACATTTTCAGCCTGGCGCCTCAGGACAAATGCCCGGATTCCCCTGCTCTGAGCCTGGCATTGCTTACCATGGAACAAGAGGAAACAAAGAAGAGAGTGGTAAGAGAGAATATAACATTAAAGGGACTTCAAAACCATAGAAACATCCTGGACAGTGCAAAATGAGCTTGGCTAGAAAAAGATACAATACCACCGAATCCCAAATAGTAAGATACAGATAATTTATTTCATTATTTGGAAAATTAAAACACAAGACGAAAAAATAACTCTAGTTTCATCTTATCAAACCAATGAATCTTTGAAATAGCAAGAAGCTTAGAAACAAAGTGATTTACACAACAGCAGGTTACCCAGAACTTACTAAGCTTTGGTGAACCAAACCATGTCCATATGAAGTTGAGTTCGTTAAAAATGAATCTTTCATAGACTACTCCAAAATGGGGCACATGCACTCGATTCGAGCCCCTCCCATAGTTGAAGACAAAAAAATAATGAAAACCCGTGCGATCAAATACTCTCTTTCCAGTCAAATTTTTTACAAATTTTCATTTGAAGTATCGTTTCTTCACATTTTGGAAACTGACTTTGTTTCTGTTATGCTTTGATCATTATTAACAAAGTTATGGGTCTTACTATTTAAAATTTGATTGCTTTTACCTAATACCTGTTTTTCAAAGTAACTAAAGAAGGTACTTCTTAAATAGCCGGTCGGGTCAAAACCTTCCTTGTTATCTAATCTTATATCACATATTTTTTGTTCCTCGTGTAAGCTGTGAGTTTGTGTCACATTCATAAAATTATGGATGTTGTTACATTGTTCGATTTGCCGTCTTCAGAAGAAGAGGCTATCAAATATTTTCAAGAAGGCGGGATAATTGCAAAGGTGAAATATTGTGATGAAGGTCATGAAATGAAGTTGGACGGGAAGAGGAAATGGAGATGCTTTCATAATTGTAACAAAAACGTTTCTATAAGGAAAGGAGCGTGGTTAGGAGGGTTGAGGAGACCTATTGTTATCATTTATTTTTATAAATATGTTGTAATGTTTTTACATTATATATGTATAATGTTTTGGTCTATTTAAAATATATCTTGTAAAATAAAAGTATTTTTTTATTATTACATTTGTTTTTGTTTACAATTTCAATAATGTGAATATAATACAATAAATATGAATACGAAGATATTATCAATGCCTTACCAAAATTATCAGTGTTAAGGTTATAAACATTGGCAGATAGCAGTCGGATCCGACCGGCTATTTAAGAAGTACCCTAAAGAGATATAAGTTAGAAGTAATCGCTCTAAAAGATTATTTGGCTGAAATACGATCATAAAGTTATATAGAGCATTAAATATTTGTCATGTCTTAAGCCTGCAAAAAAAAATTGAACTGGAAATATAATGCTCATAGAACAAAAATAACACAAACTTTTTTGGTCTCCTGAAAATTTTTAGTTTTTGTTCTTACAGGCTTCTGCGGAGTGGCTGCCAATATAAACTTTTTTAAATTTCGATATTGATATTAACTTTTTAGATCATGATTCCTGCATTTTACTTGATTATAACTAGAAAATCGATTATTAAAATAATAAAAACTACTAAATTGAAGTTGACCACCAATAAACCTCTCTGATTTAATGCCATAAACTCAGCAAAATTAAACAGAGCAGAGACAAGATTTTTAATTCAAAGCAAAAATATTAATGGAACTAAAAATTAATTGTTAAAATGTATAACTTAATAAAAGCTTAAATAAAAAAATCTTACCGTCAACTGCGAAAACACAATTTCCTGCTCAGCATCAGGCCTGGTGTTCATCTCAACTTCCAGATGGTCATTGACATTTATTTCAGATCTATCCTCGTCGGTGAAGTTATCTTGAACAGGTGACGGAACGCTCAACTGCTCTGAAGTAACCTCTGATTCTGAACTTTGCCCCTCCACAGTTTCACTTTCCCTGTTGCTACCTGAACTAGAACACACCACCGCTGAGTTAGAGCTTTCATTAGTATTAGATTCAGCAACTTTTTCTACTTGCTTTGCAGTAGTATTGTTTTCAGAGGTTGTTTTACCGTCCTGAGGACTGAAAAATTCTGAAGTTTCAGAATTTAAAGTCGAAATGGACTCAATTCTTAAACCAGAAAAAGATTGGTTTTCTCCTTCTGTTGATGTTTCAACTGATTCTGGTACTTTCAGTTTTTCTTTAGAAATATCATTGGCTGGTGTAGCAGAGTTCGGAGTAGAGTTTTCTTTGTCCGAATCAGGAGATGGGTCATTCTTTGCTGCTTCATTTTCCTTTGGTGTAGGCTCTGTTGTGGTATCGGGAATAACTTTATTTTCTGATAACTTAATTCTAGAATCACCACTGGCATTGTCGGCTACTGAATCCGGGGACTCCACTGTCGCAGAGGACACATTTCCAGATGATGGTGACACTTCAGTTAGTTCAGCACTTTCGTTCAACCTTACATCTAGACATTTGTTCGCCTCAGAATCACAAACAAGTTTCACACCACCCTGAGAACTTGCCAATTCCTCCGTGTCCATCGAATCATGGTTGGAGTCAACAGATTTCATATTATTTTCTTTCTCCAAAAGGGAAGAACTTTCCAAGATGGCTTCCACTGCATCGACCGAACTGTTTATAGCTGAAAAGCAATCATTTATTTCATTGGTCGATAAGTTATCTGAACTGGTTGGTAGGGAAATTTTTGGTAAAGCGTTGTCAATGTCATTAGAAGTTACCTCCATTGGCTCAATAGAATTAGATACCCCTTTATTCTGAATACTTTCTTGTAACTCATTACATAACGCCATAACCGATTCAGTCGTCTTAAGAAAACCTTTAGGAATACTATGAGATTCGACATTTTCATTTTCAATGCTGTCATTTAAACTGATTATATTATTATCTAGGCAAGAATCTGAAATCTCTTTTGTCGAGCTGACAATTGAAGATTGTTTATTCTCTTCCTCAGTAAATAAGGTGCTTGAAATTTCGCCTGTTCTTTCCTCTGTAAAATGTTTAGATGTATCAGGTAAAGTTTTCGGAATTTTCTTATTTTCATCAAGGCATATACCTGATTCCACCACTTCAGGTAATGCCGAGACTGGAAGAACAGAATTTTCATTCCCATGATTTATTTCAAAAGGTTTTACGGCTGTATTATTAAACAAGTTCTTTGATATGCCATCTTCCACCTAAAAATAATAAAAATATATTAAAACTACTACAAAAATAAAAGTAATTAGGAAAAATTAAGTCTGTAAAAGTTAAAAGAAATTTAATCTTCATAAGAAAACAAATCTTAGGTATCTTGAAATAAAACAAATCTTAAAAATGAAATGATCAAGTTAAAGCAACATTTCTGTATTTTAAAAACTTGAAAAAAATTTCATTTAAACTTTAAAAATGGAAATTTTTTAGCTATATACTCATTTTAGAAATTGCATTTAAACATTAAAAATATTCCAATATTTAAAAACAAAAAATTAATGTTATTTATGCTAACACAAAAGGGGTTTTAGAAATTAATTAATTAAACAAGTTTAAATTTCAAATCACTACTTTAAGATTATGGGTTTATTCAAGATCACTTTGAGCACACCATAAATAGAATTCTGAGTAATGCTGAAAGTATTGACATTTGCGTTCATATACAAATGACAGAAATGTCCTAATGACATATTTTATCCTAAAATGCACATATTTATCAGAGAGAATTTTTTTTTCTTAATTTTTGTTTTATTCATGATGGCAGAACCGTATGCTTATACAACATATGGTTGAATTTAAAGTCTTATATAAAAGCTTCATAGAGGAAAAAAATGGTACATAGAATAAACAGTGATGTATAAAATAATTAGGTTTCTGAATAACATAACTTCCAAGAAAAATTGTGGCATGATTATTTCATTTCTTTTTCCATAGTAATTAACCTTCTACAATTACATGAAGAATTTTTTTTCATTGAAGAAATTATAAAATACAATATGAATTTCTAACTGTTTCTAACCTGTACCTCTACAATCCATGAAATGTCTTTGGTTCAGTACTTTGTAAGAAAGTATTATCTCTTGGTCAAGGGTTGTGCAAAGAGATGATTTGACCGAAATCTGCCAGGTTTTCTCCCTTAATTAATTATTTAATTAATGGAATACCCACTTTACAGAGGCTGGATATGTCCTAGTAGGGCCAACCGAACCAAGGGTCAATCCACGGCTGACGAAACAGAATAAATAAATTATCTGATATCAGGTGGATTTAAACCTGGGATCTTGAGCATTGGAAGTCAGCATCCTACCACTGAGCTACCCCACTCCCACATCAATTTCAAGAAAATTATATTTTAAATAAATTACATGGATGGCCTCATATCAATCATTAGAAACAGTTTTGAGTTTAATCTATAGAACAAAAATTTAAAAAAAAATTTCCGCTTTCTGAACACGATAGATGTCCATCTTTGATATGAAGCCACTTATTAAGTATATATTAAGGCGAAAATATTTACTTAATGAAGTTTTAATAGACATTTTGGTTCATATTTATAAATTAAATTAATAACTCAAGGTTAATAATATTTCATACTTATTGAGGTTTTCCTTGCTACAGGAAGCAGCCTTTCCAATATAAATAATATCCCATATAACTAACAGTGAATTGAAACACATTATATTATGGTAGTATATTAAACTATCAAATCCTAATGCTAGTACTTGCTTCACAAGTATAATATCTAAATGTAAAAAAAAAAAATAAAATAAAAAAAAAGACTGTGTCCTGAATATTTATCACCCATTATAATATCTGGTTGAGAAGAGAATCCAGATCACATAGTATCTGGAATTCTGAAACTAGCAGAATGCGCCAGAAGGTATATGAAGGTGCTGTATATCATTCTTAAAAATAAATTATGGGAAGTATTTAAAGAGGAACTGAATAGGATCCGCCTCCAATGACAAAGATCACTGTTTGGAGCAGTGGTAAAGAATCTCGACCTTAGGACCTCTTTAATAACCAACCCATTTTCCAGAAATAGTCAGGAAGGAGGAAAAAGTGATAAAGATAAATGTGCTCTTCATACAACCGATCTCAACTGAAAAAAATCAATTGATAACTTGAGTGAGTATTGCGAGCCCACCCATGAACACGGCTACTTAGGAAATTCCGTCTACAGTATCACTGAAATCTTGACCTATTGGTCAAAAAAACATGTTTCTCCGAATCAGAACACTAATTGTAACCCTAGTTTTAAATCTAACAGTATAAATATTGATAATTTTCATCCTAATAATTTCAAAAGTCAACTATAAACCCATCTCTAAAATAAATATTGCCACTTCACATCATTGTAAGAAGCATAACATACATTGTACAGCAGTTAAATGTTATAAAATTTTGAAAGACTGGAAGAGACAAAGATGAACCGATTTATAAATTGACACTGCTTTGCAAAAAGTGAAAAAAATTAAACAATATGTGATCTAAAACATACAGATTATTATGGAATTATATAGCTAATGGCATATAATTATAAAAAAAAAAGCTACAATGTACAATTAAAACACTACAGATTTACAGTTAAAATAAGTCACAATTGTTAAGTAAATTTCCTAAACTGGCCCATTTTACTTTTTATACAGTAAATTATTGACTAAATGAGAGATAAAATAGCTGTTCTCATTTTAATTCAAACAAAAATATTTCAAATGATTATCTTTCTAAAGTCTTGGATTTATAACAATGAAATTATTACTCACTTACAAAAATTAATAAAGAGGAAAAAATAATTAAACATTTACAATTTAGTTTCACCTTAGTCAATAAAATTTACTTCTTTATGAATAGAATCACAACAGATATAGAAAATGGTAAAAATACAACTTTTATATTTTCAGCATCAATTTGAATGAAAAGTTTTAGCTGAAGCTAAGAAACATAATGAATGAATTGAAATTAACCACTTTACTGGGTAATATTGCATTAAGCTGCATTTATGAATATATATATTTCAACAATCACACGGGAAAACTTTTAAAAGTATCAATGACTGACACAATACAAAAATTTAAGTCAACTTTACAGTGAATAGAGTAATAAAGGTAAAAATGACTATTATAACTAAGTAATGCATAAAAAAAACAAAATAACTGTTAGATGTCTTCACCTAAATACAGACAAATATTAGGCAAAAGAGACCAACAAAGGTGTAGTTGCAGACATAATAAGCTGTCTTATAAACTTCAACAACAAATCAAACAAATAGAGTTAACAAAATATAATATTTAAAACAAATGGGATTTAATAATAAAGCATATTCATTAAGGTTTGCAGTTTTAACTAAAAGAAGTGCTGCAGACTAAGTAATGAAAACCTTTGTTTATAATTAGGATCATAACCTGATGAATGATAACAATTGAATAACATAAAGCCAATCAAAATTCAAATACCTCTTTGACATCAGAACTGAGCCCATTACAATTGAGCCAATCATTTAAAGTTTCTTGTGTTTTATCGCAAGTATCTTTAAATATACACCAACTTTTAACATTAGATAAACAGATTTCACAGATGCCTTTAGGTAATCTATCTTCTTTGGTAATCTAAAAAAACAAAAACAAGTACATTAAACTTAGGAATTACTACAGGCCTCTATGCTTTGTTTATAATATTGAACATTTATGTCAGCGATAATAGTATCAGATTTGTGGAATGAATTATAGAGAAAATATTATAAAACGAGCAAAGAAATATCAAATATTTCTTCTATTGTAAAGGTAAAATTAAGCATTAGCTTAGGTTTTAACTTTGAAAACAGGTGATTTCAAACTCAGTAACCCATGACATTTGAAGTTCATGTGAGTATAGGATGATTGATATAGTTAAGAATGTGTTATTGATTAATGTACTAACCTTTACAGATACACAATTATATATGCTCTCCGGAGATATGGAACATTTAGGATTCTCTTCAAAAACTGAAATCCTTCCTTCTCCATGAAGGCAGAGACGACAAGCTCCATTAACATTTTTACGAACTTCCATTATATTCGACACACAACACCATTCATGAACCGCCACACAGCATTTCACATCAAAACGGTAAGAACTTCTTAACTAATAACACTATATAAATAATAATATCCGAAGTTCTTAATGTATATATAGCATCAAAGTGTACATCTTCAAACTTTCCAATGGCACAATGTTGCCAGTCAATTTAACACCATATAAGCTCAACTATATCGATTTACTATTCAAGTTCTATTTTTTTGCTGCCTTCAACATTAATTAATATAAGGAAAGAATATATCATGTAAATTATAATTAGGAAATTAAGGCATGATGTGATAACAAAACTTATAAAAATAAAGTTGTGAATTGTAACCTGAAATGCGTATATTAGTGCAATCGGTAATGTGAACATTTATTTTGATTGAACCTTTTAAAATTATTTCCTTATTTTTTATATTTATATAAATAACATTTTTACTACTAGTTGTTATTTTTAATCGATTGTAATCGATACTATTAAACAATCGCTAGATATAGAAACATGGAGCTGTTCTTTGTTCATTCATTGTCAGTTAAATCTGTATCAGTTGTTTTGAATTTCGTTAAGTATACCTGAAATTTCCTACGGAATGTGGTTTAAAATAAAAACAAATTCTCTATTGAGAGTATTTCGTACAAATTAAGATTGATCTTAATAAAAAGCATAAGCTCGTAACATGTAGTTTTCCAAGCGTAAAATGATTTACTACTTTAGTAACAATATCGTCTCAATTTAAAAGGTTAATTTGAATATTTTTCTTCAGGGATGATATCCAAAGTTGTATATCGGATAGATATTCAGAGTTTGTTCCTGTTGGCATTCAACAGAAGGTGCAAATGCATTTTCAAGATGGGTGGATTTATACGGAGGGGGGGGGGAGAGGGTGATCTGATGTGGTCTCTCACTTGAATCCAAGAAAGTACCATTGTCGAAGTTTCTATTTTAGATTGGTTGTTTAAAATAAAATTTGGTGATTGATTTTATTCTATTAAAAGGGATACATTAAGCAATTGCATTCCTTGGGATTTGGCCATAATCTGTAGGATAAGATTTAGCTCAAATTGCTTGCTTATTTTACCTCCAACTGCAAGGCCCTTTCAGTCCTTCATTGGGATCCCTTCTATACCTTCAACGATAGAGATAGAAAAAAACATACCTTTCAGGCTTATTTTGAATTTAATTCTACCTATCTATTTCCTCTTCAACATCTCCTCGCCTTCATATCACAAGATATATCTTGACCAGTTTTATAACCTTAATTTGAATTTTTTAGGACTTCATTGCACTTGAATGAGAGTACTATCTATCTCAGATAGGTGATCATATATTTAATCTATCTATTCTCGGGAACGATGGGACAATATTTCAGATAAAATAAGATTGTTTGTTGGGATGGATTTTTCATCTTGTTATCATATATTCTGTTGTATATTCCGTTATTTGTACGCTGCTTTGCGCTGATTCTCTTATTAGTGCCTTTCCATGTCCTCTCGGTTGCTATATCATCAGCATATTCTAGGGTTTTATAATCCATCTGACGTGCTCACATTCTTCAGTGATAAAAACCATGTTGTTGTTTTTAAGCTGTCGATGTTAGTTTTAAGTCGTTAATGTCGTTGTAAGTTAAAAAACGCTGAAATTCCTGTGTTTCCAACATGCTCGATCATCCAAGGCTTCAGATATCATTTGTGAACGACTTCGCCAATCTCACCAATATGCCGAAAATTCCCAGCTTAGTCAATTCGTGTTTTCCGAGGACCTATTGCACCACAGATTAACCGTTCACATTTCATTTTTAATACAGGGAAGGGGGGGGGAGGGGTTATTCTAGAGGTACAATCGAATCTATTCTAACCACAGTGCGAAGGTCGAGATTTATTCCGTGGATCTATCATATCATCCATTGATAAATAATCATCCATAAAAATTTTATCCTCTGAACTAGATTATGGAAAGGATAATGCCAACTCCTTTCAGGTTAACACTTTCTGGTATTGATTTAAATTGTTTCTTTTAACATCGATACAAAATATATATCATTAGTCCTAAGAGTAACGAGAAATGAAACAAATCAGCTGCATATGCCACTAATCCACTAAAAAAAAATGTTATCTTATGTCTGATTGTGACCTTACATCACAAGCCTCCTTCAATTGGGTCATTAAAAGATAAACCCTAACAAATTATCTCAGAAACCTACGCCATCCTGCCTTCCTATATCACTTAATAATGCACTTCTGCTCAACAGATATGGTGTCTATGATTTCAACTTGATGATTGAATTTCATGTGTTTTGAAGAAAGACAAAAACGACAATCTTTCCTCATCAGTTTTAATCTAATTCAGCTTTTTGTGCATACTTTTATCAAGTGTACGTTTAGCATACATCGATTAGCTGCCTAAACGAAGTCCAACATCAGCTCGATCAACTCATTATAAAAATAAATAGCCATGCGTATAATCTTAAGATAACAAGAATTCACGTTCTTACATCAACAGGCATTGGTGTTTAATTTAACTACAGGAATTGTGGAGGAGTGAGTATGCTCTTTAAATTACGGCTGAAGTATTCATGTAATTCTTAACGAATAGTAACAAGATCGAAAAAAAATAAAGCAAAGAAGAAATCCAGAAAGACTCGGAAGAAAGTTGTGGAAGAGTAATGTTACTGCCTATAGAAGGAATGAGAAACAAAATATTAATTAATCCGGCTAATAGTAGTCTAGGCTACCGTACAATTTTATTATGTCGATAAAATGCATAGTTTTGGAGTCATGGCAAAAAAACTAAAAAAAATGTTGGAAATTTCACTGTTTTTTGCATATAACTAGGAACGCATTGCAAATTTTCGTTTGGAAACTTCAGATTCGGAGAACCAAAAAAAAAAAAAAAAAATCGAAGGAAACTCGTCTATTTGAATTTTTTCCACATCCGACTACAATGCCACCAGTTCACATAAAGCAACCAAGTACATCGTCTGTCAAGATGAGTTATCTTTTAGGAACACATTCTTAACATCATATCAAAATATCAACCGTCAGTTCTTTCGTCAAATGAAACGTTAAATTTCTTCAACTTAACAGAAATTTTCGTTTAGAAACCAATGACTTTCAACCGATTCACATTGGGGCGAACGTAACATTGCTTGGACACCGGCAATAACTTACTAGAAATGCATCGGAAATGCAGTATATTGCTCAAATTTGGTCTGTTTGCGTTTTTGAGGGTATTGAATTTGAATTCAAGCCATTTGGTCCACAAGATGCATGTATTAAAATAAAAAGAGCAAAATATTAATTTTTATTTTATCTTGAAGTTAACCCTATAGGTATATATTTTTATTTTATTTACGTGATAAACAGTTCTGTTTTCATTTTGATTTATATAAAACAATTATTCTATGAACAAAATATTTGTTGACATTATTGCTCTAACCTATCAATTGCTATTTATACCAGGAATTTTATGTTAAATAATAAATGTTTCGTGTAAAACGTTTATTTCATGCAATATAAATATTTCAAGTACAAGTATTTCACATACAATAAGCATTGTGAAAATATTCGCGGTAGATACAAATAGATTGTTTAAAATCTATTTCATGTAGTTTGCAAGATCAACGGTGCATATAGTCCATGGTACAGACTCCTTTTTAGCGAAGTATTAACATCCGCCTGAAACTTCGTAAATAGTTTTTATCTCATCGTAACCTACAACTATTTTATTTACAAAACTCTTGGCATTGGAGCATTTTCAATCTAGAGGGAGCAATGTTTGCCTATTTAATTAAGTATTAAAAACTCGTAAATACCTATTTGGTTTGTACTTGGATCGTAAGATAATTTGATCTCAAAATTGAGAAAAATGAGGGCCTACCTTTTTTTATTTTGAAATTTTGGGGGGTGTAGGTAACCCCAAACGGCTCAATATTTTTGAAGGCCCTCATTTTTCTCGATTTTGTGATCAAATTATCTTACGATCCATGTTCAAAGTAAATGGGTATTTACAAGTTTTTAGTACTTAATTAAATAGACAAAGTTTGCCTCCTTCCAGATTGAAAACGCCCCAATTCCAAGAGTTTTCCGAAATAAAATAGTTGTAGCTTACGATGAGATGAAACTATTTACGAAGTTTCAGGCGGATGTTGATTATCCGATGAAAAAGGGTCTGTACCACAGACTAATAAACTCCTCTCCTCCATGTCAAGAAATTTATTGTTCATCTCTTCTTAAAGCAGTGCAAGTAGAAAATTAGAAAAATCGTAGATCATGCACAATCACCACACTTGCTGTGGTTGTGTTCCAATGCTTACCTCTTGTCCCATGGTTTGAAACTTTTCACTCCGAAAATTCGTAACTCCGTCGAAATGTGCTCCCTCAGAGTTGAATGCCCCTCTAGGCACCCCTGCACATTGCGCTATTTCAAATCAATCCAACCATGACGGCATGAACAACTACAGAAAAATCTAATATACACGACTAATGCATTATATTACACTCTTCAACTCTTAATCATCCTAATCCACTCTTTCTACCGCTTTTCTCCTTGCTTTCACTCAAACACGAGATAATGACATAATCAAGGAATAAAACAAAAACAAAAAATGTATGCTTCATGCATTGCATAAATAATTGTTATTGATGCATTGAATTACACATGATTTCAAGGGTAACGTAACATGCGCCATAAAACCTCCTTCAGGGCATCCCTAGTGATTTCTAAATTTCTTTTGATCAATCTTATACGTCTTTCCAAGAAGGGCTAGAGAAGTCTGTCGATTCAAAGAAGGTGGCCTTACATTCCGAGAATTCCACAACAGTATGGTCTCGGGCCTAGTTTGGACTTGAAGTTGTTTCTCTTGTCAACAAGAATATTTTTTTATTGTATTTTATTTATTTTTTGAAATTTACTACAGTATTAAATAAATTCAACTAGTAAATATGAGCAACTCAAGAATATGAACAGACTTGTGAAGACACTACCGAATGAT